CTGTCTAAAAGTTGAAACAAGGTATGTCCTTGGAGGGTAGTTTAGCCTACTATTCCCTCTCCCCTTTGGCGAGTTGATTTTCTGTATGGTTTAAAACGGGTGTTAATTCAGTTTGCTCTCTCTGCCGACTCAGTGTGCATTGACTGAGCTACCCTCCTAGTACTCCGCCTTATTCTCACTTGGATAGAGAATTCTGTTGTAGAAACTCCTGAACCAGCTTGTGGTTTATTGTGAAGTGAAGTCTGCAGACAATTATATACTGTTACCTTCAGGTTACGATGTGACGACCAGTGTCAAGCTTAGAACTTTGTGATATATTCCTTATGCCAGGGAGTTACTCAGTGAAAGTGTTAATTCTCAATATATGTACTTGCACACAAGTAATGTTACTATTGAGGAAGCAGTAATATTCCTCTGATCATTATCAAGTGTAGTGACCATATTGACATAGTCTCCAGAGGGGGTCTATGATGTACATTCTATTTAAGAGTTTTCTTGTGTGAAGAAAAGTTTCTGACCAAAGTGATATTTATTTATTTATTTATTTATTTAGTAATTTGAGCATACATACAGAGGTACAAAAAAATACAGGTAAGAGCAGCATGCCAAAGCCACTTATATGCATAGCATTACGGGCTGGCTTAAAATTAACTTAAGATTAACTAAGCAATGATGAAATCAGTGATAAGACATTATTGTAAACAGATAACTATAAAGCACAGATGAGTATTACAAAGACAGGTCATATGGTTGCATGCATTGCTGTACATTCAGTCGAATGGAGTATTCTGTTAGATTGGGTTTTAGGTTTAATAGATATTTGTGAATTTTTTTTTTTTTTTTTTTTTTTTTTTTTTTTTTTTTTTTTCAACAAGTCGGTCGTCTCCCACCGAGGCAGGGTGACCCAAAAAAGAAAGAAAATCCCCAAAAAGAAAATACTTTCATCATCATTCAACACTTTCACCACACTCACACATTATCACTGCTTTTGCAGAGGTGCTCAGAATATAACAGTTTAGAAGCATATACGTATAGAGATACACAACATATCCCTCCAAACTGCCAATATCCCAAACCCTCCTTTAAAGTGCAGGGCATTGTACTTCCCATTTCCAGGACTAAAGTCCGACTATATGAAAATAACCGGTTTCCTGAACCCCTTCACTAAAATATTACCCTGCTCACACTCCAACAGATGTCAGGTCCCAAGTATCATTCGTCTCCTTCACTCCTATCTAACACGCTCATGCACGCTTGCTGGAAGTCCAAAACCCCTCACCCCCAAAACCCCCTTTACCCCCTCTTTCAACCCCTTTTGAGGACGACCCCTACCCCTCTTTCCTTCCCTATAGATTTATATGCTTTCCATGTCATTCTACTTTGATCCATTCTCTCTAAAAGACCAAACACCTCAACAACCCCTCTTCTGCCTCTGACTAATGTTTTATTAACTCCCACCCTTCTCCTAAATTTTCCCCACTCCGAATTTCTGCATAATATTTACACCACACATTGCCTTAGACAGGACTCTCCACTGCCTCCAACCCTCTCCTCGCTGCTGCATTACCACCCAAGCTTCACATCCCTATAAGAGTGTTGGTATACTATACTTTCATACATTCCCTTCTTTTGCCTCCATAGATAACGTTTTTTGACTCCACATATACCTCAACGCACCCCTCACCTTTTTTCCCTCATCAATTCTATGATTAACCTCATCCCTTTATAAATCCATCCGCCGACACGCAACTCCCAAGTATCTGAAAACATTCACTTCTTCCATACTCTCCTCCCCAATTTGATATCCAATTTTTCTTTATCTAAATCATTTGATACCCTCATCAACCTTACTCTTTTCTATGTTCACTTTCAATTTTCATACCTTTACACACATTCTCAAACTCACCACTAACCTTTGCAATTTTTCTTGGGAATCTCCCATAAGCACAGTATCATCAGCAAAAAGTAACTGTGTAAATTTCCCCATTTTGAATTTTGATTCCCCATAATTTAATCCCACCCTCTCCCGAACACCCTAGCATTTACTTCCTTTTACAACCCCATCTATAAATATATTAAAAACCATGGTGACATTACACATCCCTGTCTAAGACCAAATTTTACTGGGAAGTATTCTCCCTCTTTTCTACAACCCTAACCTGAGCCTCACTATCCTCATAAAAGCTCTTTACAGCATTTAGTAACTTACCACCTATTCCATATACTTGCAAACATCTGCCACATTGCTCCTCTATCCACTCTTATCATATGCCTTTTCTAAATCCTTTAAATGCAATAAAAACTTCCCTACCTTTATCTAAATACTGTTCACAAAAATGCTTCAATGTAAACATTTGATTACACATCCCTACCCACTCTGAAACTCCTTGTTCGTCCGCAATTTTTACATTCTGTCTTACCTCTATTCTTTCAATTATAACCCTACCGTATACTTTTCCTGGTATACTCAGAAAAACTTTTTCCTCTAAAATTTTTACAATCTCTTTTGTCCCCTTTCCCTTTATATAAAGGGACTATACATGCTCTCCGCCAATCCCTAGGTACCTTCCCCTCTTTCATCATTTATTAAAAAAAAGTACCAACCACTCCAACACTATATCCCCCCCTGCTTTTAACATTTCTGTCATGATCCCATCAGTTCCAGCTGCTTTACCCCCTTTCATTCTACGTAATGCCTCACGTACCTCCACCACACTTACAGTTGCTCTTCTTCACTCCTAAAGATGGTATACCTCCCTGGCCAGTGCAGGGAAATTACCGCCTCCCTTCTTCCCCTTAACATTTAAAAGTTCCTCAAAATATTCTCGCCATCTACCTAATACCTCCCTCTCCCCATCTACTAACTCCCCTACTCTGTTTTTAATGACAAATCCATACTTTCCCTAGGCTTTCTTAATTGTTTAAACTCACTCCAAAATTTTTTTTATTTTCATTAAAATTTCTTGACAGTGCCTCTCCCACTCTTTCATTGCTCTCCTTTGCACTCTCTCACCACTCTCTTCACCTTTCTTTTACTCTCCATTACTTTTGCTCTTCTTATAACACTTCTGCTTTGTAAAAAACCTCTCGTAAGCTACCTTTTTCTCTTTTATCACACCCTTTACTTCATCATTCCACCAATCACTCCTCTTTCCTCCTGCCCCCACCCACCTATAACCACAAACTTCTGCCCCACATTCAATACTGCTTTTTTAAAAAACTTTTTCCAACCCTCTTCAACCCCCGACTACTCATCTTTGCACTACCCCACCTTTCTGCCAATAGTCGCTTATATCTCGCCCTAACTTCCTCCTCCCTTAGTTTATTCACTTTCACCTCCCTCTTACTTGTTGTTCCCACCTTCCTTTTTCCCATCTACCTCTTACTCTAACTGTAGCTACAACAAAATAATGATCCGATATATCAGTTGCCCCTCTATAAACATGTACATCCTGGAGCCTACCATCAACCTTTTATCCACCAATACATAATCAAAACAAACTACTTTCATTACGTGCTACATCATACCTTGTATATTTATTTATCCTCTTTTTCATAAAATATGTATTACTTATTACCAAATTTCTTTCTACACATAGCTCAATTAAAGGCTCCCATTTACATTTACCCCTGGCACCCAAAATTACCTACTACTCCCTCCATAAAAATTTTTACCCACTTTAGCATTGAAATCCCCAAACCCCCATTACTCTCACACTTGATTCAAAACTCCCCACGCATTCACTCAACATTTTCCCCGAATCTCTCTCTCTCCTCTACACTTCTCTCTTCTCCAGGTGCATACACGCTTACTATAACCCACTTTTCACATCCAATCTTTATTTTACTCCACATAATCCTTGAATTTATACATTTGTAGTCCCTCTTTTCCTGCCCTAGCTTATCCTTCAACATTATTGCTACTCCTTCTTTAGCTCTAACTCTATTTGAAACCCCTGAAACCCAATCCCATTTATTCCTCTCCATTGAAACTCTCCCACCCCTTCAGCTTTGTTTCACTTAAAGCAGGACATCCAGTTTCTTCTCATTCATAACATCCACAATCATCTCTTTCTTATCATTTGCACAACATCCACGCACATTCAGACTTCCACTTTGACAATTTTCTTCTTCTTATTCTTTTTAGTAATCTTTACAGGAAAAGGGGTTACTAGCCCATTGTTCCCGGCATTTTAGTTGACTTTTACAACACGCATGGCTTACGGAGGAAAGATTCTTATTCCACTTTCCCCCTGGATATAAAGGAAAAGTATAAGACCAAGAACTATTAAGATAAAATCAAAGAAAACTCAGATGAGTGTGTATAAATAAACGTGTCCATGTATGTGTAGTGTGACCTAAGTGTAAGTAGAAGTAGCAAGACGTACCTGTAATCTTGCATATTTATGAGACAGACAAAAGACACCAGCAATCCTACCATCATGTAAAACAATTACAGGCTTACGTTTTACACTCACTTGGCAGGACGGTAGTACCTCCCTGGGTGGTTGCTGTCTACCAACCTACTACCATATTTGTGAATATCTAAAGTATTTAAGCTTTTAAATAAAAAGAAACTAGAAAAGACTGAGTAACTATTATTTGTGCCTTACATTTCTAAGTTTGGAACCATATCCTCTCATTCTATGAAGTGTGTTGTTACGGAGTGCACTAACCTGGCTAAAGATTAAGATCCGAACCGTAACAGTGGGAAACGGCTGATGTGTTAATAAATAAATAGTCCATTATATCAAGGGGTTTACCAAATGAGTTATATACTAAATGCCATTAGCTGATGCACTATGTAGGCTTAATGTCCTGTAATTCTTGCATTTTCTATTCCCTTTGTACATGCTCTGTACCAATCCTTGGGTACCCCTCCCTTCTTATACAGACACATTGTTCAATTTTTTATTTACTTGTCAACAGCAAATTACTTATGAATATTCAGACTAAACAGATAATGCATATGAAATATATCAATGAGAAGCAAGAATTACCTCAGGAGTGACTTCCTTTTCCCGGGTTATGTCTATGAGACTATCATCAGCAAGGTAAAGCACCAACTCATTCATGAGCTCCGAGCATTGAGTCTTCAGCAGATACTTCCTCAACTGCACCTGCTTCTCTTCATCAAACACCTGTACACAAAGGGTAATTTCATACGCTGTACAAAAATTCATCATGACTGATATCCCTACATTAGTGAGAAATGACTAATGAAGTAAAAAAAAAAAATCATGTAATTTCATATAAAATACAATAATTCAATGATGGATTCACAATACCTACAATTAGTTAAGGTGAATAACTAAATTCATATATGCACTGCAACAAAAGCTCAGGCTATGAAGTTGTTTAAAGTTTACATTAAAACATATAAAAGCATGCAACTGTTCAACTTGCATTCATTTAACAGAGCTAGAAAGAAAGGGAAGGGGCCATGTTGATAAAAAAAGCTTAGAAGGTGAAGGAATAATTACTGCAACTATAACAATGAATAACTAGTAACAAACCATGAAAAAGAAATAACAGGTGACTAAATATGAAGAGGAATTGTTAAATGTTGATGAAGATAGGGAAGCTGTGATTTCGTGTATAGGACAAGGAGGAATAACATCTTGTAGGAGTGGGGAAGAGCCAGTTGTGAGTGTGGGGGAAGTTCGTGAGGCAGTAGGTAAAATGAAAGGGGGTAAGGCAGCCGGGATTGATGGGATAAAGATAGAAATGTTAAAAGCAGGTGGGGATATAGTTTTGGAGTGGTTGGTGAAATTATTTAATAAATGTATGGAAGAGGGTAAGGTACCTAGGGATTGGCAGAGAGCATGCATAGTTCCTTTGTATAAAGGCAAAGGGGATAAAAGAGAGTGCAAAAATTATAGGTGGATAAGTCTGCTGAGTATACCTGGTAAAGTGTATGGTAGAGTTATTATTGAAAGAATTAAGAGTAAGACGGAGAATAGGATAGCAGATGAACAAGGAGGCTTTAGGAAAGGTAGGGGGTGTGTGGACCAGGTGTTTACAGTGAAACATACAAGTGAACAGTATTTAGATAAGGCTAAAGAGGTCTTTGTGGCATTTATGGATTTGGAAAAGGCGTATGACAGGGTGGATAGGGGGGCAATGTGGCAGATGTTGCAAGTGTATGGTGTAGGAGGTAGGTTACTGAAAGCAGTGAAGAGTTTTTACGAGGATAGTGAGGCTCAAGTTAGAGTATGTAGGAAAGAGGGAAATTATTTCCCAGTAAAAGTAGGCCTTAGACAAGGATGTGTGATGTCACCGTGGTTGTTTAATATATTTATAGATGGGGTTGTAAGAGAAGTAAATGCGAGGGTCTTGGCAAGAGGCGTGGAGTTAAAAGATAAAGAATCACACACAAAGTGGGAGTTGTCACAGTTGCTCTTTGCTGATGACACTGTGCTCTTGGGAGATTCTGAAGAGAAGTTGCAGAGATTGGTGGATAAATTTGGTAGGGTGTGCAAAAGAAGAAAATTAAAGGTGAATACAGGAAAGAGTAAGGTTATGAGGATAACAAAAAGATTAGGTGATGAAAGATTGAATATCAGATTGGAGGGAGAGAGTATGGAGGAGGTAAATGTATTCAGATATTTGGGAGTGGACGTGTCAGCGGATGGGTCTATGAAAGATGAGGTGAATCATAGAATTGCTGAGGGGAAAAGAGTGAGTGGTGCACTTAGGAGTCTGTGGAGACAAAGAACTTTGTCCTTGGAGGCAAAGAGGGGAATGTATGAGAGTATAGTTTTACCAACGCTCTTATATGGGTGTGAAGCATGGGTGATAAATGTTGCAGCAAGGAGAAGGCTGGAGGCAGTGGAGATATCATGTCTGAGGGCAATGTGTGGTGTGAATATAATGCAGAGAATTCGTAGTTTGGAAGTTAGGAGGAGGTGCGGGATTACCAAAACTGTTGTCCAGAGGGCTGAGGAAGGGTTGTTGAGGTGGTTCGGACATGTAGAGAGAATGGAGCGAAACAGAATAACTTCAAGAGTGTATCAGTCTGTAGTGGAAGGAAGGCGGGGTAGGGGTCGGCCTAGGAAAGGTTGGAGAGAGGGGGTAAAGGAGGGTTTTGTGTGCGAGGGGCTTGGACTTCCAGCAGGCATGCGTGAGCGTGTTTGATAGGAGTGAATGGAGACAAATGGTTTTTAACACTTGACGTGCTGTTGGAGTGTGAGCAAAGTAACATTTATGAAGGGGTTCAGGGAAACCGGCAGGCCGGACTTGAGTCCTGGAGATGGGAAGTACAGTGCCTGCACTCTGAAGGAGGGGTGTTAATGCTGCAGTTTAAAAACTGTAGTGTAAAGCACCCTTCTGGCAAGACAGTGATGGAGTGAATGATGGTGAAAGTTTTTCTTTTTCGGGCCACCCTGCCTTGGTGGGAATCGGCCAGTGTGATAATAATAAAAAAAATAATAAATATGAAGAAGAATAAATGGTGACAAACTGCATTCACTTCTTTCAAATTTGTGAGCCCCACCTAATGATATCCTGATTTTATGTATAACATACATAAAAAAAAAAAAAATCAAACTACTGTACTCTGCCTTTTCTAACCTTAACACTCTTCTCTGCCAGTTTGATTGCAGTGAGCAAAGCCAACACTTTCTCCTGCAGCTGCTGGTGGGTCTTTCTTCGTGCATCGCCTCCAACTGCTACACTGGCCAAGAAGATGGTTCTAGCAACATCCTGGAACTGTTTAGTTAAAGGACGATGCAAGTAATTTGCTAACTCTTCCACAAGTTCCTCAGGACAGTCTATTAATTCAGAAAAGTTTGAAATTTCAGTTTGCAAATCTTCTATGGAAAGGAACTCTACTTGTAAGACTTTGCCATCACGCCCGGAAGACTGGTGAGTGGTGGTATCATCATCAGAGTCAGAGTCCTGTGCAGGTCCCTTCCTTCCTTTATATTTATTCTTGGTAGCTTTAGTCTTAGTCTCACGACCCTGGGTTCCACCTCCTGCTTTGCCAGTTGCTGCCTTCTTTCGTCTGTCATCTTTTTTACTCTTATTCATGTCTTCATCATGCTGTTTCAGTTTCCCAGTTCCAACCTGAAAGCAATGTAGTGTCACTAACAAAATATAAGAAAACAATGTTCAAACATTATTAAGTGGCTGCATTGTCATTATGATTATTTTTTTTAACACATTGGCTGTTTCCCACTGAGACAGGGTGATTATTAGGACAATGGACCCCTGAGTTTCGTGATTAATTCGTTCCAGAGAGTCTGCCGAATGACGAAATTCCTGAATAGCGACACCATTTTCCCCATAAGAAATAATGGAAATAAAATTATTCCGTTCCAGACACCCAAAAATATTAAGATAAAATATTTTTTTTCAAATTAAATAAAGATCTGCATACTGAAAACAATGAGAAATCAAGTACATACATATATAAAACAATAACAACATTACACTTACCTTTAATGAAGACTTCTGGGTGGATGGAAGATGGGAGGAGGGGATAGGAGGAAGGTGTACACTATTGTTTCGAAGGAGAATCTCCTTCCATTAGGACTTCAGGTACCAAGTCCTTATCTGAGGTTACTTTCCTTCTTTGTTTTTTAAAGACACTGGGAACAACTTGAGAGTCACTGGACCCTTGTCGTACAAAATATGTCCAGAGAGCACTGTTTCTGGCGTTTCTTTAAGATTTGTCTGAAGTGGGACACAACACTGTCATTGTACATGTTGTCAATACGGCCTGCAACAGCTTTCTTAGGGTGAAGTTCATCCATAAATGTTTGCACTTCAGTCCACTTTGCACAAATGTCCTCAATCTTTGAAGAAGGCACCTTCCTCCACCTCTCTTCCTCCTCCACTGCAGCAATTTCCTGAGCTGTGATCTCTTGCTGCTGCAGATGAAGCTCTTGCATCTCTTCAGTGGTTAGCTCTTCCCTGTGGTCCTCCACCAACTCTTCCACATCCTCGCCACTCAGGTCCAACTCCAGGGACTTCCCCAATGCCACAATAGATTCCACAACTAGCTTAGGCTCCTTAGGGTCAGCCCCAAACCCTTCAAAATCTCTCTCTTGTACACATTCTGGCCACAATTTTCTCCAAGCAGAATTCAAAGTTCTGCAAGTCACTCCTTCCCAATCCTTACCTATAAGGTTTATGCAAGTGAGGATATTGAAATGATCTTTCCAGAACTCTCTTAGGGTCAGTTCAGTGTCTGAGGTCACTTCAAAGCACTTTTGAAACACTGCTTTGGTGTACAATTTTTTGATGTTTGAAATGATCTGCTGGTCCATGGGCTGGATGAGAGGAGTTGTATTAGGAGGCAAGAACTTCACGGTGACAAAACTAAACTCCTCCACTATTTGCTCTTCCAAGTCTGGAGGATGAGCAAGAGCATTGTCCATTACCAGGAGGCACTTGAGTGGCAATTTATTTTCCAGGAGGCATTTCTTCACACTGGGGCCAAACACTTCATTAAACCAGTTTAGGAAAATTTCCCTTGTGACCCATGCCTTACTGTTAGCCATCCACATCACACACAAATTACTCTTGGTGACACTGCTTTTCTTGAACACTCTGGGATTTTCAGAGCGATACACCAGTGTAAAGGCTTCACTTTGCAATCCCCACTAGCATTACTACAAAACATGAGAGTAAGCCTATCCTTCATTGGCTTGTGTCCTGGGAGTGCCGTTTCCTCTTGCGTGATGTAGGTCCTCTTTGGCATTTTCTTCCAAAAGAGGCCTGTTTCATCGCAATTAAACACTTGTTGGGGTTTGAATTCTCCAGTGTCTACGCACTCCTTAAACTCCTGTACAAACTTCTCAGCTGCTTTTTTGTCAGAACTGGCAGCCTAACCATGCCTTATCACACTTATCACTACGCTTCTTAAATCTCTCAAACCAACCTTTGCTGGCCTTAAAATCACAAGCATCACCACTTGTTGCAGGCATTTTTTTTACGAGATCATCATGCAACTGCCTTGCCTTTTCACATATTATCGATTGCATAATACTTTCTCCTGCTAACTGTTTTTGGGTAATCCACACCAACAATAACCTTTCCACTTCTTCGAGGATTTGCGATTTCTTTTTTGTCAGCATATCTACCCCTTTTGCAACAACAGCATACTTTATTTCCTTTCCCTTCGCCATGATCGAAGTGATGGTTGAATGGGGTTTGCCTTACTTCTTGGCAAGTTCTGCAACACGCACTCTGCTCTCATATTTTTCAATGATTTCCTTCTTGAATTCGATCATGTTCCTCGCTTTCTTTACCAAAGGGCTTGCAATAGCTTTCCTTGGGCCCATGGTGACTTATTTAGCAGTTGCAAGCACAAAAAACAATGGATTATTATGAAATGTATTGTATGAACCTGCGGGGTGATGGTCACATGCTGGTAAACAATGGCACACTGAGTGTGAATGGCGCAGGAGACTGGCTTTGTGTGCACGGTGACAGGCGGACAGGTACCAGATGGTCGCCGAATCACGAGTCCAATCACGAACCACGAGGCTAAATGTTGCCAAAAAAACTTGCCGAAAGTCGGATTTCGCGAAAGTCGATGCCGACGAAACTTGAGGGTCCACTGTATTAGTATTATTATTTTTTACTTTTTATTATTAACACATCGGCCATTTCCCACCAAGGCAGGGTGGTTCGAAAGAGAAACACTTTCATCATCATTCTTTCCATCACTGTCTGGCCAGAGCAATGCCTACACTACAGTTATAAATACTGCAACATTAACACCCTTCCTTCAGAGTGCAGACACTGTACTTTCCATCTTCAGGATGGGTTTCCCTGAAACCCTTCATAAATGTTACCTTGTTTACACTCCAATAGAACACAAGTCCTAAAAACTATTTGTCTCCATTTACTCCTGTCTAACACACTCATGCACGCTTGCTGGAAGTCCAAGACCCTTGCACACAAAACCTCCTTTACCCCCTCCCTCCAACCTTTCCTAGGCTTACCACTACCCCGCCTTCCCTCCACTACAGATTTGTATACTCTCGAAGTCATTCTATTTCATTCCATCCCCTCTACATGTCCAAACCATCTCAATAACCCTTCCTCAGTCCTCTGGATAATAATTTTGGTAATCCCACACCTCCTCCTAATCTCCAAACTATGGATTCTCTGCATTACATTCACACCACACATTGCCCTCAGACATGACATCTCCACTGCCTCCAGCCTTCTCCTTGTTGCAACATTCACAACCCATGCCTCACATCCATATAAGAACGTTGGTATAACTATACTCTCATACATTCCCCTCTTTGCCTCCATGGACAAAGTTCTTTGTCTCCATAGACTCCTCAGTGCACCACTCACTTTTTTCCACTCATTAATTCTATGATTCACCTCATCCTTCACAGACCCATCTGCTGACACATCCACTCCAAGATATCTGAACACATTCACCTCCTCCCTGCTCTCTCCCTCCAATCTGATATCCAATCTTCTGTTACCTAATTTTTTAGTTATCCTCACTGCCTTACTCTTTCCTATATTCACTCTTAACTTCCTTCTTTTACATACCTTACCAAACTCATCAACCAACCTCTGCAACTTCTCTTCAGAATCTCCCAAAAACAGTGCCATCAGCAAAGAGCAACTGCGACAACTCTCACTTTGTGTTCGATTCTTTATCTTTTAACCCCACACCTCTTGCCAACACCCGAGCATTCACTTCTCTTACTTCTCCATCTATGGTGACATCACACATCCCTGTCTAAGGTCTACTTTTACTGGGAAATAATCTCCCTCTTGCCTACATACTCTAATCTTAGCCTCACCTACCTCCTATTCCATACATTTGCAACATCTGCCACACTGCCCCCCTATCCACCCTATCATATGCCTTTTCCAAATCCATAAATGCCACAAAAATGTCTTTACCCTTACCTAAATATTGTTCACCTATGTGTTTCAATGCAACCACTTGATCTACACCCCTCTACCTTTCGTAAAGCCTCCTTGTTCATCTGCTATCCTGCTCTCCGTCTTACGCATAATTCTATCAGTAATAACTCTACCATACACCTCACCAGGTATACTCAACAGACTTCTTCTTTCAACAAACCGGCCGTATCCCACCGAGGCAGGGTGGCCCATAAAGAAAAACAAAAGTTTCACTTTTTAAATTTAGTAATTTATACAGGATAAGGGGTTACTAGCCCCTTGCTCCCGGCATTTTAGTCGCCTCTTACAACACGCATGGCTTACGGAGGAAGAATTCTGATCCACTTCCCCATGGAGATAGGAAGAAATAAACAAGAATAAGAACTAGAAAGAAAATAGAAGAAAACCCAGAGGGGTGTGTATATATATGCTTGTACATGTATGTGCAGTGTGACCTAAGTGTAAGTAGAAGTAGCAAGGCGTAACTGAAATCTTGCATGTTCATGAGACAGAAAAAAGGACGCCAGCAATCCTACCATCATGTAAAACAATTACAGGCTTTCGTTTTACACTCACTTGGCAGGACGGTAGTACCTCCCTGGGCGGTTGCTGTCTACCAACCTACTACCTCGACTCAACAGACTTATTCCCTTATAATTTTTACACTCTCTTTTGTTCGCTTTGCATTTATACAAAGGAACTATGCATGCTCTCTGAGAATCCCTAGGTACCTTACCATCTTCCGTACATTTATTAAATACAAACACTAACTACTCCAAAACTATATCCCCACCTGTTTTTAACATTTCTACCTTTATCCCATCAATCCCAGTTGCTATACCCCCTTTCATTCTACTCATTGTCCCACGCACCTTCCTCACACTCACAACTGGTTCTTCCTCACTCCTACAAGATGTTATTCCTCCTTGCCCTATACACGAAATCACAGCTTCCTTATCTTCATCAATATCTAACAATTCCTCAAAACATTCCCTCCATCTTCCCTATACCTGTACCTCTCCATTTACTAACTCTCCTCTCCTATTTTTAACTGACAAATCCATTTGCTTCATAGGCTTCCTCAACTTATTAATCTCACTCCAGGACTTTTTCTTATTTTCTAAAAAAATTGTTAATAACAAAACTCACACACACTCTTATTTGCTCTCTTTTCACAA